AACTTAAGAGATTGGTTATTAATAACGTATCGAGACATAGTTGACAAAGAAAAATTGCTGTTTTGATAGGCGTGTGACGTGCATTGCGTCGACATACGGTAGAAACTGACAGAAAGCTAGTTAAACATTCAAGATGATATTTCTGCTTCGTCAATAGGTAAATTTCAAATAAGAATATCGTTATCCGGTTACCACTAGCATCGTCGTTTCACTCGATTGCTGCATATACCTATATTATATACATAATTAAATTAGAATTTACAAGTATGTTGGAAAAAGCTTAAACGAGTATTTTACTTTGTGCTATAACATATGCAAAAAAAGAAAAAGGAAGTGAAAGCTGAAATGACACTTCCATAAAATATTCTATATTCCTTTTGTCTCAAGTTGTATATTTATATCTGCTATTCTTTCTAAACTATCTTCTATAGCAAAGAAATCTTTATACTACTACTATACTACTATACTTTATAATACTACTATACTATATAATACTATATACTACGATAAACGATACTTTTAAGTTCAAAAAGTGACTGGGATGCAAACCTAAAGTTTAGGACGTAGTAGTGTACGTAATACATAGTGTCACGTTCCTACTATTCCGCATAAAATACGTATTCTTCTCCATCATTAAAATTCAACCATAAGACTCCTGGTACCGTAGAATTAGATATCAACCGTATCTCTTACTCGAAGTATCCTAGCCGGATAACAGAAGATTCTGTTACATGAATTGTGTTTTCGTGTGGGACGAGAGTGCAATATTCGCAAAGAGAGCAGTGAACGTTCGCACGCAAAGTGCCGCACGCAGTCCTTGTAAAATGTAAATGGATCGTGGTCACGAGTAGACATCAAACGTTGCACGTGTTTATACGCAAATATCCGCGTGGTAATACGCCGCACGTGACAGCCGGCGTTAGAATGCAAACGATCTCGCGGAATGTCGATTTCCGATCAATCATTAATGCCTTCGAACGGAAAGCCGCAAAGTAGGTTGGCAAAAATGTTTTGCGAAACAGAAAAAAAAATCGTTTTCTCGTTGTCGGACACGCGTCACACGGTTTCCTGACCTACTTCGAATCTTCAAAAGTATACGTGCAGTACGAACGAACAGAAATAGTAACGCGCAGCGGACTTCGCCTGTAGAATGCTGTGTAAATCTATAAAACTTACGATTCCTTATTTTTAGCTTTTGGAAAATAACTTTCGAGTCTAGATCAGCTTAACTATACCACAATTCATTATCGGCAAGCAGTAAACGTAAATAATAAATCGTAAAATTAAGATTACTGTAATATAAATAGCGCACAAAACCGATTCCTCAACTGTTTTGGAACCGATATACAATTAAAATGATAATCTTGCAAGAGATGCGTGTAAGTATAGAAAAATTTTTCCAAATATTCTTAACTCGTAAGTCAGCGACGAAAATTAGGTTTCCACATAAACGACTTAATTTGCCTTCCCTGAACAACTGAACTCCTTGCCTGAGAAAAGACTAATTAAATTACTAATTATGTTAGAATCTCCTCGATTTTGGAATCTTTCCTTAGTTTCGGAAATTTATCTTGTTGATAACTTTATCTTGTCACTAACGGAACCAAGTATCTCTATTACGATAGCTTTTTGTCTGTCGTTATGTCGTAAATTAAATTACTCTAAATTCTGCGAATTATACCGTAAAAGAACTTACAAGATTTACGAAAGATACTTAAGTATCAAAGAATCTATGAAAATAGTAATACCACGGTGTTCACATTTCGAGTTAATTCATCGGGCGAAATATTTCGCAAACTGAGTCACAAAAGGGAACAAGAAACACCGTTCGCCCATTTATTCGTTGGTGAACGGTGTACAAAAGAAACGTTAATTAGCAAAAAAACATTCTATGATGCTAATTTCAACTAAATCCGAGTAGCTGGGTTTCACTTTGTAACGCGGCGCCGTAGCACACGGTAATGTATAACGCAATGTAAACGATGCCCCAATTATAATAAGGAACGTAAGCACGTGCTAGCAAAGCCATACACGCGTTCACGCAAATTGTGATGTACTTTCACTTGGATTTCGTTGAATACACCTGGTAGATACATGGAAAGATAAGCAAGCCGCGGTTACACCTTCCGCGCTTACAAACTTTAGAAGATATTATCTTTGTGTCAGAAAACCTTACTGTTTTTTTTGGATTTTACGTTATTTAAGATCTTCCTTCTGAATTCTCCATTCGTCTAGTTTCTGTTAGAAATGTCTTCCAGATATTTTTATATAATGGAAATCTATCCAAGTGTTGTTACTACAGATTAGGCAGCTTGGTTTCAAGGATATGGATTCTTGGTTCTCGGTTGTAAGTTAGAGGTTTGAGATTCCTAAAATGACAAACAATCATATACAACAAAATATACATATATAAATACATATATAGATATTCATGTAACTTTATAGTAAAGAAGTTCAATTATTAGAAAACAGATTAGAAATGAAACAAAGAAGTAAGGTGAAAGTGTATGCGCGTCCTAAATTTCCTTGTAAAACGTTGCGCATCATTCATAACAATCAGGGGCAATGCTAGAAAAATATCAGTGATGTAATCACTGATTGATATTTATAAATGCATCCGCCAATGATTCATATGATTAAAAAAAAAACAGTTAAATGCTAATCCTGCAAAGACGAAGCGCGAGAATTTTAATCCCTTTTTATCTACTAATTCTTTTACAAGCCCTTTAAAATTTTTACATTTTTACACTGAGAATGATCATGACAAGCAACATATTTACAACAACGAATACGTATTTACGTAAGATCGTTAAAAGACAAATTTAACATGTTTCTCAATTTTCCATCTCTTTATATTATCGGCGTTATTTAAAATTGCTTAATCGATGATCGCGCACTTGCTTTGCAGTATAGACCGTTATGTTCGATCTTTATTACGGTACTTGTATTGTTAATGACGAGCATTGCGATGGAATGTTGCTAGATATGTAAATTCAGTTTAAGGCAATTATTACACTGTATCGTGTACTGTACCAATGGCTATATCGTTATTATAATATCGTTATTAAACGAACTGGAATTACAACGAGCATTCGTCTGTGAATTACTGCCATCCAAATAGGAAAATTATATTTTTGTACTATGATTTTTTACAACTGAAGGGATCAAAACGAACTTTGTTCGTGTCCGTCTTTTTACATGAAAAGAAAATAATTTCAATAAGCGTATCTGTAATTCTATCGTATCAAAATTATATGCAAATATCTACAAATCATGTAGAATAAGGTTCCTATCTTGTATAGAAACAAAAGTGACTGAAGTTTAAATTAATTATAACAATAAATACAATTCAAACTTTCACCTACTGTGAATTAATATCGAAGAAATAATCTTAAACACAGGAAGTTTAGTGTGAATTTCTTTTCATTGGATGTTTAAAAAATGACGGTTTAATGAATATTCTTTGCAAATAACAACAGAACTTTCTCTGGTATGTAACAAATATGAAAGTGACACATTTTATGGAGGAATCTGGTCGCAAATTTGTAAACGTCAGGAAATTTCTGCAAGCTTTTGCAGCTCAGTTGCTACTGACAAATAAGTTTAACAAACTATTTAATTATTATTTAAAATGATAAACGACATTGCAGTGGCTATTATTCGTAATAAATACACTGCTCAATTAGATTATTCGGTTAAAGTATTAAACCATGTTCAATTAAAGATAACGTTACCCGTTTTAAAAATACATGTCATAGATAAACGTAAATTCACCGCATATAATATTTTTCAAACATTTAACAAAATTTTACTGGATAAAACCATCTTCTCAATTCTACAAATTTAAGAAGTCGCAGATTTGTTTCATCCATTAAATTTTGTACGCGCTGTATTTTGGATATTTTATATATTTTCATACATTATGCACATTCTGTACATTTTTGCACTTTTAAATTTCCCATAAATGCATAAAAATTTGCAGTCTATTCGTTACATTCAAAAGCAAGAAAAATGTTCGGCTTTTCTCGACGTACCACTAGCTAGCAGCACCTCCATGAAAAACATTTAAACGCAACTCAAAAAACTCATTGTGTGCGAATTTTCAACACAAAGGAAACCGAGGAATTGCAGTAACTTACGGAAGTGTTTAAACACTTATCAAAGTAACTACAAACCTTCTATGGATATTTAAAATTTCATTAGCACTGTAACGATATCGGATTATCATGATTATATTAGCAAAACTTGAAACAAACGTGAAGATGTACATAAAAGCTACAAGGTATATGCTGCAAGTATACGTTTCGCGGAGGTTACAAAAATATTTAAAAAATCAATTATCCATTATATGGAGAAACCGCGTTATTTAGTAGAATCGTCACTAATTCATCCTTAAATATATATCTGCAGTAAATATCTTGTAATTTCTACATAGATTTTCAGATCGATTTCAAATTTCTCCCAATACAATCGCAACAGTGGAGTTCCAAAATCTTTTATATACAGAAATACGTACATACAAGTTTTCTATTGAAAATGTTCAAATATACCGCCGGCCATAAGTATTAGGATACTTATTGACGCTTAAAATATAAACTTACTGCCTTGCGCTACTTTCATTTTATAGTTATTGTATTATAAATCTGTTATCTCATTTAAACCATACACGAGTCCTATAAAATAAAATACGAAATATGAGATAAAATAAAATTTCTTAGAATTTTCCAACAAGTATAACCAGTAGGTATTTTAAAATACTTATCGTCGACGGTGTACACGAGCCACTGTACACGACTTCTCAAACCAGGAAACGAGCGTATAGGAAACGATCTTAAAGAAGTTGATTATATAAAGGTACCTATCTACCTACCAAAAGCGAATTATCGCGTTTAAGAAACTGTTCTAAGCTTATTGTTAATTATAAGGGTGACTGAGGTATACGTTTAGGACAATGACGACCGCGGATGGGCCGAGCCGCGAGAAGAGGGTGGTTTACTCACCGATGGTGCGTCGTTGACGACGTCGACGTTGATTAGAGACGATCAATGTGAGAACTCGTTGGCGTCGCGATGCACGCCGTTCAACATTCCTTTCAGCTTGCCTTGGAGTAACTGGACGCCAAAGCGGTTTCCCTCTCTCGAATCGCATCGACTTCTTTACATTCTACTCCAGCCTCGATCATGGCTTTCACTTCATCCGTCGAGGAAATGGTGAACCATGATCTCGCGGCGACGTTCGCACGCGACGTTGTTGGTCCAGCGACGACGAGACCGCGCAGCTCCGACGAATCTGGATAGAACATGATCCGCGTAACGCTTCGCTTTTATGGGGACTGAGATGCATTTCTAATTACATGCTAGTAGACGACGAGGACTGTGAAAGACGAAAGTAGTCGGACGAGGCAACATTTTCTGCAATCTTGTAAAAAGTAATCGGATCGCGAGGAAGATTATACAGATGGAAATCTTTTGAATTTTAATATCCTTTCGACCTCGTGAAAGACAATTCTGAAAGATTTCAATTGTACTTTAAATCCGATATATTCTCATCTATTACGGCATGAGAAAGGAAAATTAATGGGAATCTTTTTTACAATTTTATGAAGAGTAATTGGATTGCCAAGAAGATTATCTGGTTGCAAATCTTTTGAATTTTAATATTTTTTAATCTCCTCAAAGACAATTCGAAAATGTTTAAACTACCTTAAATCTGATAAATCTCTCTCTCCGTCTCTCCTCTCCCTCGCCCTCTTTCGCTCAGCTATTACAAAATGAAAAAGAAGAATTAGAAATTGAAACTGTGTTCAGATGAAACATAAATAGTTATTAAGAAGGTATTTTTTTTAAGAAAGAGATGACAATTTAATGAATGCCCGACGTTCGGAAAGATTTATAACGATACGATAAATAATAGTAATAATAACGATGATTGATATAGTACTTACTATAAATTATTTACCACTGAACGTTCAAAATATACATTTCTGAATAATTTGGGAGACTAAAACGAACATCAGAAAAAAAAGAGATATTACAAACCTTGAAAATAAAAGAGAAAAGATTAATGTGATAAAATGAAAAAATAAATATAGTAATAGTAATTATATATATCGTAAATAGTAATAATATAGTACAATAATAAAATAAATTTTGACATGTGAGACATAACTCATTAATTATAAATAAAGTTTATAAAATTGTATCAGTTCATTTGATAAAATTTCTTAATATGAATTATTTAATAATTTCTGCAATTAGAGGACATTATAATCGAAGTAGCATATATTTGACACAATAAGTTTCCCTTTCAAACGCGTTTCACACATTTAGAAAATAAGCATTCTAATATAAATATTTGAAGACAAAAATCAAGGTTACTGTGTCGACATCTATGCCCATTTTCTTCTAGGAAACATTACAAAATTGTTTCAGCTGTTAATATAGAATACTTATTTAAATTGCTGAACGAACTAAATAGGATCATCTAAATATCTAACTTATGTATTATTGTATGAAAAAACTTCTCAGGACAAAGCTACATTATTTCAAAAGCCACATACAATGGTGGAAATAGCATTTTCTTATCATCATTTTTTTTTACGGAATTTAAAGGCCATCAATATTTTTTTTAATAGAATCGTATATTTATTCTTCGATATCCTAATAGAGTATGAAAAAACAAATTCAATGATATACCTTACCATTCCTATAATATAATCTTGAAATATTACGTTTGATATATACTTATATATGTATATTCAATTATGTTCAATAGGCAGGTAGCAAAATTAAAGAATCCAAATTTTTCAGCTCTAAGACCGAATCTTTTAACTCTTGAAAACTCGAATGACAGTTTACAATCCAAAGTGTTAATTAAAATTGCTTTTATCTGAATATTCTCTCTGGTTTCATAGTTATAAACAGGCTTTTAAAATCGTCCAATCCATGGACAACGAAACATTATAACCACCTAGCGGTGAAAAGGTGAAACTAATTTCTTTATGACAAAATTAAAATATGAAATTTCTTAATTTATAAGGCGAATTCTTGAACTGCTCAAGAATGAAATTAAACCTTTAACTCCTAGAAATCAGAATATTATACCGTTATCCTAATTAATTAAATTAAATAAGTAATTAATTTATTAAGCACAATTAGTGCAAAGTGCCCTATTTTGAGCATGATAGCACCATCTATCAATGTAAAAGTTTACTTTTTATTAACACATATCACTGATTCATCGGTAATCAAAATAAAGAACCAGGGTGAATATTCAGATAAAAGTAATTTTAATTAATTCTTTGAATTCTAGAATATTATTTGAGCCTTCAGAAGTTAAAATCCTGCTTAGAAGCCTTGAAATTTGAATTTGAATACACTTCGGACGTCGATATCTCGATTAAATGATAATCATCAGTTATATTTTGACAACTTCATTATTTTACTTAATAAGAAGAAGAAAATTTAATTATATTCTTATTTGACATATTTTTATGTATTTCATTTTGAACATGACATATATGAAGTTATTGATTTGTTTATAAAACTTTCTGCACATTTATAAGTACATATGTATGTTTATCCACATCTTTTACAGAACTCTGTGTGTGTGTGTATATCTTACGATGAAATTTTTTATATTCCTGAGCATTGCACATGCACAGTACTTCAAGAAGAATTTTACTACTTGAATGTTACATGAAGTTACATATTTAGTTAGTGCACAGAACAATCTATTGACATTTAATATATAGACAAACTAAGTAAATTAATGCTATCTATTTAATTATAAAAAGATATAATTTTATTTTACAAATTCAAAGTACTCAAAAAATACTGGTCTATAAATATTCGTCTGTATATTTATTTACTTTATTTTTTTAATTTAATTATTCGTAAATAGAAAATATTGTATGAAATAAAATTTTAATGTACATCTATTACATTGATTTTTTAATGTTCCTAGATAAACTGAAAATATAAAAAAGTATGCAGTAACTAAAAATGTTATTACGTAGGGAAAATATTTATGTATATGTAATAAAAGAACATACAAATGAATATAGTATGTAATAATATAAACATGCATACATTTTAAGGAAATTTATAAAATATAATTCAATATGGTTTAATACAGTTAAAAATAATGGAAGAGAAACTGAACAAGAAGAGCCACCGTAAGCAAAGACGAGCATATCATAGACTTCTTAAGGATATGGATATTAAATGCTGTGATAATCCTACACAGGTTAGTATTCATTTATGTAATTTATTCATTATAATATTAGGAATATGTTTTCATTTTAATATATTACAGTACATAATGATTTGTAATGCGGGATTAGTGACTGGTTTACAAAGAAAAACATTACAAGATGTCATAGATCCATTTGTTGACTTATATGATTTAATAATGCCACTAAACAAGTCATATTGTTTTATTAAATTTTATTCGGTAGAAGTTGCTACATATGTACACAATAAAATTAATGGTAACATTAAAATTAATGGACAAAGTACACCACTGTATGCAACATTTACAGAATCAGGTATATAATTTATCTTGAAATCTGTATAGAATTTATTGTATTTTCTTATAATATTAATTATTAATTAAAATCTATACTCACCCATACAAAATATAAAGATTAAATTTTTATATTTTTAAATTATGAATTTGTTTTAGTCCCTGATTTAAATTATTGTGGGTGGTCTTCAAATCTTCCTCCTGGACTTAAATTAATAGAAAATTTTATCACTGAAAAAGAAGAAGAAATGTTATTAAGTACAATTAATTGGTCTAATGAAGGTAACAAAAATCTTGTTACTTTAATAAAAGAACATTACAAATTATCAAATTATGTAAATTTAACTGCAATATAAATCTCTTTTTCAGAATCGTCAGAATTAAAACATAGGAAAGTTAAACACTTTGGATATGAATTTCAATATAATTCAAATAAAGTAGATCCAGATAAACCTATTATACCTATACCTGAAAACTATCGATTTTTAAAAACGCTGTTCAAAAAATATCATGATGCTCCATATGAATATGATCAATTGACAATTAATCATTATTTACCTGGTCAAGGTATGTTTCACAAAGATTATCCTTTAACATACTTCATTTTTTCAAATAAATACAATAGTAATGTTTTAAATTTTAAGGTATTCCTCCACATATTGATACACATAGTGCGTTTGAAGATAGTATATTGTCATTATCATTGGGCTCAGCTTGCATAATGGATTTTAAACGAGAAAATGAAAAAGCTGCTGTCCTTTTGCCTGCTCGCTCATTGTTAATCATGTCAGGAGAAGCCCGTTATGCCTGGTCGCATGGAATTTGTCCTAGACATAATGACATAGTAAAATCTTCAAATGGAGTGACAACTCAACCACGAGGAACAAGAGTATCGTTTACATTCCGGAAAATACACAGGGGTGATTGTTGCTGTAATTTTCCAGAATATTGCGATACTAAACAGAATAACGCTACTACTCTGATCGATAATAAAATAGCTCTAGGAATAGAAAATTCTTATGTACATGATGTATGTATTACAAATTACCATTTATGTGCGATTGTACTTATATTTAATGAGTTATTAAATAAGTTTGCAACTTTTTTATATATAGGTTTATGATAAAATTTCAAATCATTTTGATGAAACAAGGCATAAACAATGGCCCAATGTAACCAAATTCCTTCAAACTTTAAATACAGGTGATATCTTATTAGATGTAGGATGCGGGAATGGTAAATATCTTTATCAAGCTAAAAATATATTTAAGGTGTGTATTACACATCATTTAACTTTATATAATAACAAGCATAATATAAAAACAAACCCTCTATAATATAGGTTGGATGTGATAGAAGTTACAATTTAATGAAAATTTGTCGCAGTAAAGGTTTCGAAGTATCCCTATCTGACTGTTTATATTTACCTTATAAAGACAATAGTCTGGATGCAGTAATATGTATAGCTGTAATTCATCATCTTTCGACTCATGAGCGAAGGAAACAAGCCATTTCTGAATTAACAAGAATTCTTAGGCCAAATGGAAAATGTTTAATTTATGTATGGGCAAAAGAACAAGAAAAGGATTCTATTCAAACAGCTTACTTGCGATATAATTTAAGTAAAAAGGAAGACAATATTTCACATACACAAAAATTAACAGAATATGGTATAACATTACCTGTGCATGAAAATCGTACAAAATTTGTCTGTAAGGATATGCTTGTTCCATGGAAAAGAAAAGGAGG